CACGCTTGTTTTTGTTGTTCGTGTCACTTAAAATTTTATCCCAATCTCTCCGAACAATTGGAAGCAGAGCTGTTTGATCAGTGTTGAGCTGAAGTAGCTGCTGCAGGAGATATTTGAGATATTAATAACGTTGTCTGGGTAAATAAGGGTTAAAAAAAATGTTTTCATTGAGTCAGAAATATAATTTGTGTATCTGTCTGGTTTTGTGTTGGGTGCACAGTCCTCGTATACACATCGTAATATTGAGAAAGACGTGATAGAAGACTGTGATCACAGTGGTTTGGTGGTTCAGTTTGAAACAGTCTGGCACACACACACAGACTTAAATCAAACCTTCATATACTATTACTTAGAGCCCAATTACCGAGGGTTTTGACACCGATGTGACGCAGTAAAAAAAAGTTTAGCATAAACGTTTATTATTTGTTAATTGTCTTGGTACAGACCACATGAACCCACTGAACTGCATTTTAATTGAAAAGGTTGTGGAATCGTCAGTTTTGTACCTTTAGCTCACCACATGCATTTGACCTTCACAGTGAAACGCCGCCTCTCCCCTTCTCTTCATTTCTCTCTCATGAAATGGAGAGAAACGGGAACATTGGGCAAGAAACATGAAGGTGAAACTCACTTCCTGCAGCTGCCTGACACAGTGAGACCACCTCCCTGCACCGCCTCCCCCCACCGTCACTGAAAAGTTAAAGACTTCCCGTTCGTAACCTTCCACAGTTAGTCTATAACCCGATCCGGAAACCTCTTGTTCATTATCAACTTTTCACTCTTACTCACTCACCACTGTTTCTCCGGAAGCATCTCTTTTCATTCCCCACTCGGATGTGTGCACCTTGCAGCAGGTGCAGGGGTACGGCAGACGTTTTGCCCCCCTGTGCACGTGCCAATACAATCGTTTAAAACACGCCTGGCTGCACGGGTTCCTGACAACATTCTTTTCAGAGCAGCGTGCGGGTGACGACAGCGCGACAGATGAAATAATGCCTTGGGCTGCGAAACACAGTCTCTTCATTAGATCATCTTTCTCACTGTAACAATGCTGTTTCGAGGTGTTGTAAATGGGACTGAAGGATTAATGCACCTAGCTGGCAGTCAGTAGTGCTGCGTTCCCTCTGCGTGTGGCTTTCTGTTGGCTTACATACACATTCAGCCGAACGAGGGAAGACACAGATCAATAAATGAGAGTGGGTTTGATCCTGAAATAGTCGGCGTGTGTCCGTGAGTCGGAGTTTGCTTGAGCAAGATCATGAAGAATTACCTGCTCGCTCACTGCAAGTCTGACGAGACTGGAAACTGAATTTTTGCTTTTGCAAGGTCGAGCTTGGATGGATGTGGAGGTCATGAAAGACCCAAAACAAAGGATATTGTTGGTGGAACTGAAATACTGTTTGAGGAAGGGAACCTCAGACATGCAGTCCAGAAATGACAGAGCTATTGGCTCACTTCTTTTAGTGCTTGATACCTGCAAGTATGCACCTGATGTGAAATGTGAATGCTTAACGATGCTGAAATACTGTTTTATCTCCGCTGTGTTGTGGTTGTGATGCAGAAACAAAATGCATTTTGTTCCTGTTGTTTGCTGGAAAACATGTTGACTCAAATCAAAATGCTTGAAATGTTTGCGGCTGCTGCTGTTTTTCTCTTTTTCATGAATGCAAAGAGTTGAATAAAGGCGTTGAAGAATGTGGACGAGATTTAAAGATGCCATGTAATGTTTGCTTTTTCTATCACCCCCCTGTGTGAGTGTGTGCTAGTGTGTGTGTGCTAGTGTGTGTGTGTGCTCTGTTGTCATCCTGCAGCGTAATGGGGTTTTTATGGTTTTAATGCTACGCATCAGCAAACAAAAGCCGTCACGTGTCCTTCGCTGTAAATGCTCGGAGCAGCCGGGTTCACAGACTGTTTACAAATGGCAGATGAGGCTCCACCCCCCCTCTGCCTCATGCACTTAGCACACATGGCAATTGAGCGTGAGTGCATTTCTGTTATTCTCAAGTGGCGTTTTTCACATCACTGTCACAATCCCCTAAGATCGATGCTCGCTGCCTCTTTAGCCTGTACGTGCAGCTTGTGATTAGTCAGTAAAAAAAATGGGCTGTTTCTTCCTAGAAAGCTTTAAACAAGGGGGGGGGGGGCAGGAAGGTCTGATATTCCCAAGATGCAAACGCCGTTGCCGCGGTGATGTAATGATGCCTCTCCACCACCCCCCCGGTGATTGTTGTAGATGTTAATGGCTGCACAGCGAAGCACCTGAGCTTTTTTTTTTTTTTTTTTTGTGTGTGTGTTGTTTTGATCCATTACATCATGGCTCGGGGCAGGAGAGGTGATGTCATACCCGGGTCTCCAGCTTCCCTGCCCCCACCACAACCTCCCACTCACCTCCCCACTGCTTTGACTGGAGCCGCTCCAAACGCAGCCAGTTGTACGCTGCTTTCTAGGCATTGTCTGAGGCCCAGCAGCCCGGCTCATTATACACCGGAACACAAAGCTCCAGCCTCTGCTGCTCGCACACACACACACACACACACACACACACACACACACACACACACACACACAAAATGAATGTGTCAGATGATGGACTTTTCCAAACATGCATTCATTGTGGAAGGATAATATTATTTTATATATTTATTCTCTGATTTAAACCTTATCATGTATGAAGGTCCTACACAGAATCATGAGTCTTGTTAGTTAATGCAAATGATGTTTGGCTGCAACCAATGATTATTTGTATTTATTCATTTGTGATTATTGTTGAGTCTTTAAAATGGCAGATACTGAAAACTGCCCATAACATTCAGAATCCACTAAATATAGAATAATAAAACCAGAGACTAGCACAGATCTTTAGCATTTTAGGTTAATACATAATTTAAACTATGACCAGTAGCACCGACAGTAAAATGACGTTTTAACTGTTTGTATATTTGTAAACATTTTGAATTTCTTGTAGATATTTGTGCAAAAAAAAAACTGTGAGTGCTCTGTCATTTATCAAAATGACAAGAAAACAACAGTGATGGAGCAAAATGACAGAAAATGCCCGGGACTGTCTAAGTAAATGCAGGACGGTGGTTTGACAGACAAACAACGGAAAAATATAATAAATATCATGTCCTACTTTTTGGAGGTGACACTTTTTGGTGATGTGCTCCTTCATCTTCTATAGAATAAAACTGTGACGGCTCCAGTGGGTTGTGTTGAGGCCTGATTTGTGTTTGTGGTTGTGAGGTGCTGGCTATGATCTGCTGCTCTGTTGTCTGTTGTCTGCGTTGACCTTTAAAACCTGCGTTGTTTCCCTGTGATGTGTCATCGTCATTTAAAGCATCTCCATCCTCATATCTCCGTCTGTCAGGAGGCTGAAGGGACTGTCTCTGAATCCAATATCCAGAGTCTCTAGAGGCCTGACATCTGCACACGCGTGCACAACACACACACACGCATGTTTTCTGTCTCGCTCTCACAAAGCAGAGTGTTGTTAGTTTGTTATTCTCAGCCCTGTCAGTGATGCTCGCTGTACTACAGTCGAGTGAAAGTGAAGTGGCACAGTCTATTTTCACTGTCTCTCTCTTACAAACACACTCGTCTCCCTCCCTCTCTCCGTTTCGCCATGTCTCGCTGCCTCCATCGCCACAGCAACTGAAGGCCCTGGAGGGTGTGTATGGGGCCGGGTGGGTGGGTGGGTGGGTGAATTGGGTGCGGGGGGGACTCATGCTCGCCCAGTTGCCATGGCTATTCCAGCTGAGTGACGGCGACGGAGTGACATCACTGCCGCCATGTCTCCGCGTTCCTCCCCCTCTGCCTCCGCTGCGTCTATCTTCCAGCTGCATCTTCACTCGATGCCACTCTTCCTCTCCGTCTAAACGTCTTCTTTCTCTACTCACTCTCTTAAGAGGAAGTGTGCCTCTGTCTCAGTTTCTGTCTCCTCTCCCCGCCCAGGAAATGGCTTTTACTTCATGCGGTTGCCATGCCAACCGGCTCCAGCCGTTTTCTCGCGACCGGAGCGAGCGTGACAATGGCATTACTCGCACTGTGGCCCCTCTCCTCCCTCGATCCCTTCCATCCCTCTGTCATCCATCCATCTATTCCCCAACCCTTTCTTTTTGTCCTCGTCTCGTTCTCATCATCTCTCCTCCACTCACGCCCTTCTCCTCTTTCCATCTCTCCATCAACCCTCCAGAGGAGCCCAATGGCTGCTCTTACAGCATCACTGTCAGGCAGGGAGGAGGTCCTGTCTCCCCTATACACCCCTCCACCACCATCTCTGCCACCATCCCTCCTTCCTCCCCCTCCTCTGACACACATCCCCCCCTCCCCTCCTCCTCCTCCTGCTCCCGATACAAACACACCGCTGGGTTTTAACGTACAGTACCTCGGTGGAGGCTGCAGGCGTCTCGGTCCTCGAATAATCTAATGGTGCATAAAGGCGCTGGACGTGCGTGCGTGTAGCTTCACTTTCGGCAGAGGGAGGGGAGAAGGAGAGAGAGACAGAGAGAGGGAAGAGGCGGAGGAAGCAAACGTGAGTGAAAGTGTTGTCAGCCATTTTTCTCATCTTTTTCTCCTCCTCCTCCTCCTCCTGTTTTCTGCTTTATTATCGGCGCGCGCTGCTGCGCTCCGGCTGTGGATGTGATTGTCAAGTGCGCGCAGAGAAGCAGCTGTTTTGTTTTTTTTTCTTCTTCCTCCTGCGCTTGGATAAGAGGACATCTCTTCTCTGGTTCATCCTCCTCCTCCTCCTCCTCCTCCTCTTCATCTGTGGGGTTGTTTGGTTTAAAGAGATTTCTGCGGGGAGGCAGGAGCTGAACGCTGGTGTGGAGAGTCTGGAATCAGGCCGAGGAGCAGCGGATACTCCCAAAAACTGACAAGACGGTGCAGCCAGCCGAGGGAGGGGAGAGGGCAGGGGGGGCTCGGATGGATACGGTGGGGGTTCATGCTGAAGCCTAGTGCACCTCCGGGATGTTAGATTTTAGCCCAGCGAACATTTTTTCATTATGAAACCATTAGCAGCGTCAGACAGCAATGGAGTCCCGAGCCAGCAAGATAAAACCCCGGTAAGTAGCCCTATCGACGTGCATCGTTTTCTCTCCATCGCTCCTCTTCTGTTTTTTTTTTTTTCCTCTCCTCCCCTCGCCCTCATTTATGACCCAGTAGATATGATTACCGCCCGTGTAATGGACGTGCATCGGATTTCTATCGAGCCTGCAGGAGATGAATGAACGCAGGGCGGAGGGAAGGGCGAGACAGAAACCTGGACGGGGCTGATCGGAGGCTGCTCATCGCCCCGTCGAGCCTCCGATGTGTGTCAGTGTGTTGTACTAGAAACGGCCGCCATGTGCTTGCTGTCACTCGAAGCAGACGCGCGCAGACACACGCACAACTATGTTAGGGACTCTGTCGATCTCGTGGGGCTGTAGCACACCGCGGGGATTATACCGTTATAGCAGCACGTTTTTAAAAGAGGTGAAAACCCATTTGAGTGTCATGCAAATAGCACGTGCACGCAGGGATCAGGTGGTGCAGGTGTGTTGAGCGACCGACGTCTCTGCCCTCGTTATGTTTCAGGACACGAGGTGACAATATTTAATTGTTGGTCCACGAGATGGAATTAACGACGCCAGCCAAAACAGTGAAACAACAGATCAGGGTGGTGTGATGGGAGAGAGGTGATGTCATGTGTGCAGAGATGAAGCAGCACTAAATTCACTGATCCCACCTTCCAGCCTCTCGGAGCTGCTGCAGCTGCAGGGCTGTAGATCCTGCAGGAATAAACCGATCAGTTGCATGGATGCTTCAGTTTCAGTCAGGTTCTTATCTCTGGTGAGAAGATGAGACTCTTCAGTTTCAGTCAGGTTCTTATCTCT